ACGAATAATAGTCTTGGCACAGAGAGCCTACACAAACAGGACAAAAGAAAAGAAAACATTGTGTGAATGGGTAAACTTTATTCCTTAAAATGTATTTGTAACATCAAATACATTTTAAGGAATAGTTCGGCATCTTGGGGGCTTTTCTTTCCTAATGAGAGTTACATGAGAAAATAGATACATCCAGCAGCTGGTTAGCTCAGCTTAGCATGAAAACTGTGTACAAGGGGGAAACAGCTCGGCTCTGTAAGTCTCATCTACACCTTGAGGTTGCCAGGTAAGCAGCAGAGACTCCAGGAAGCTACTGTGTCCCAGCCAAGACATTGCGATGTGACGTTTTTACGTGTCAGTTTTTGTACAGATTAAACAAACTACATATATTGTGTATAAGTAGTGAGCTTGGGAGGTGCTGGAAGGTGGATTGTTGTTACTTTTGGTTTGCCCGTTTCCGGTCTTTGTGCTATAATAACCACATGCTGGCTGTAGCTTCATACTTAACACACATAATAGTGGACTGTAAGAGTGGAAAGTAATCCCTACTAACTTAGTTACATAGATTGGGTTAACTTAATATAAAATGCATACACTGTAAGTATATGTTAAGAGAAGGTAAATACATAAAGAGGTTAGGCATACAGTATTGCAGATGCACGGGGTCATCTTGCTGCAGTGGCCTACTTCTCCTCAATGCGGCATAATATAACTGAACTTAAATACAAACTTGCTCGTCCTAAATGATACTACACTCTCTGATTTCTAAAAAAGACAGGCAAGAAAATCTCGAACAAGTTGAGAAACTTGTCTTGTAGCTGTGGCAGGAAACGCAGTATAAAAACCACGCTGCTCCCCTGCAATGATGGCTACATCTGCATGGGGCTGTCTGTGCAACATGAAACAAGCAATAATCCAAAAGTAGCACGGTGTGGGTACGCGTCGGGGCCAGTGCCACATTGTGAAAGGGCCTATTGCTGCTGTATCCCTCTCTCTGTTTACTTAGCCTGTCCGTGTAATGATAGGGATATCTGTACAACTACCACTGCAGCCGCCACACTCTCTCATTCTGTCTCCCTCTGTCTGTTTGTTCTCCAGGCTCTGCAAAGTAAGCGTCTTCTCGTGCACACAATGGCTGCTATTTCGTTGGGTTACAACAGGGGAAACTACCGCACAAACTGCCTCTATGTTACCTCTCTCCTTTTTCTTTCTCTCTGTCTGTCTGTGCCCGATGACCTTAGGTGTGTGTATGAAGTAGCCCGTACAAAGATCGCACTGTTCGCTCATTTTTCCCCGTCACTTTATGTGATTTCCAGTTTAAGGTCAGCAGCAGGCAGCCCTTACGACACCACACAAAGACACTGCTGTCGTCCTTACGTCTTTGTGTTTTGTTTTCTACAATGTGTTTTCCATTAAGTCTGCATAAGTATGGATAATCTGAAGGGACGCTTGTTCTTTCTTGCTTCTTTTCTGTTTTTTCTTCACGCATTTAAAGCTCAGTAGCAATGGAGTTGTTCTTCGCAGACCGATATAGCTGTTCCTCCTCTTTCTTTCACTCTGGTTTATGGGTTCTCCAGTGCATGAAACGATACGAGCGTCTATAAAAGTGCTGCTGCTTTTGTCTTTGTTGCTTTCTGTCATTAAAATGTCCACCAGTGCATGTGTTATTAGTCTAGCAGCCATTTAAGTGGGGCGGACAAGATGTCTGGGCTTCTGTGCTTTTGGTTACAAGACGGTGGAGTCCATTTCAGAAATGTTTATAGGTGGAAGAAGGTGAGGTTTTCATAGGAATCAGGCTTATTCATGATTATAGCTTTAGTCTCCCTCCCTCTCTCTCTCTCTGTCTCTCTCTCACACACACACACTGTGTCCATATTTGTCCCGACTATTCACCTCTGTCCCTATCAGTGGTGGAAATACTCAGGTTGCCTGGGTTATGGGATATTCTGGGATGGTGTCCCACTGAGTGCAAATATAGATGCCACACCCTCTGCCTGAAATGAACACAGATACACACACACACACACGCACACATACAGAGGCGTGGGCTGTCTATTAGTGTCCTGTCCTGTCCAAAACATCTAAATAGAAATATCCCCCATTATCACAGCATGACATCACACCTAAATGAGATGAAAAGATTTTTCTTAATTTACACTTAAGGTTGACGTTTTGTGGTAATTTAGTAAAATAGTGTTGTTATGGGGTTTCAAGTTTAAGATCTGCGTGACTGAAGGCACTCCTTAGACTCCCACGCTCTGTGAACTTATTTTACCCACTGGAGAAAATTGTTTTCTGAAAGCCTCGAGAATTGAATCCCAGACAGCTGAGCTCCTCTTAAAGCAATTTCCAGCACACATCTGAGACCCTGGTTCACAATGGTAATTGCTTGAGAACTGCTTCCGCAGCATAGCTTGCATATAAACATGCATGAAAAGAGCCGGGTTATTTCATTCAATGCTAACTTTGGTTGTGTGGAGAGGGTAGAGTTCTGGATGGTAATATATGGTACTGGTATATTGACTGACATATGCAAAATTAAAGGAACGTTTACAATTACTTAGATTGTGCCTAAAATAAAACAAGGGACACATCACAAAGCATCCAACTACTTTTAGATTTAGTCAGAAACTTCCTGGCAGCCGGGAAAAGAAAGGCATTCAGGATTTTTCTGACTCATCTTGGGTGATTTGGGAACTAGCTGTGGTTGTGCAAACTGAGCATTTAACTTACAGCACTGAGTTTTGAAAATACAGAATGTATTCATCCTTGAGATACTGCTTTGGTTTTCTTCTTCCTGTTTGTTGGCATACTGTGGAACTAAATAAAGCCGGATTTGGCTGCACTCTGAACGCTGGGGGAAAAAAAAAAGTGAAACCAGACCAAAAACACATGCCAGTGTAGCACAGTAAAGCGTTATCTTTGTGGTTTTAATTGCTTTTGTAAGCAACTGCAATATCTCCTCTTTGAAACAGAGTATCAGACAACAAGTCTATTCAACAGCAGCTGAATGAAGTGATTCACACAAAGCGGTTCCACAATCACAACTGTACTTTTGGCTACAATGCTCTCTCTTTGACCATTCACTGCTGTTCTGTTTATACCGGAGCTAAATGTTATCCTGGTGTTCGTGGCAACGTACGATGTTGATGTTATTTCAGCGGCTGTGATAAGCTACGGTAGCTGCTGGCTAACAGAGACTCTTTCATGCAGAGATTTGATAGATGAGGAGGTGGAGCCTGACTCACCGATGCCAAATTGACCCGGAGCCTCTCCACAAGCCTCATTTTCTGACCGCGCTCTGATCTCCATCGCTCACACATGAACTATGAAAAAATAAATCATCAAATAACACACTGCATGCTTGCCTGACGAGTTTGAGCTTTTCTACTTCCACTCCACTATCCTTTATCATGTTTTTTTTTTTACTTTTTGTTGATGCAGCAGTTTGCGTCTGTCTAATATTTTCCTCTACTCTTTGCTGCACAGTTTCTGCTGCTTTAGGCGGTGTTCTATTTGTTCTCTTTTGCTATTTGTCTTTCCTTAGACACACTGAGGAAAAAATCCCATTTTGAGGCTTTTCCTTTTTGCCCCTGCACTTTTACTTTCCCCAGATACTTTTCAAGGGCGTTCTTGTCCACGCTATTGTAGATGCATACCATAAGAGGCAAAGTCAGCATCTTTGCAGGGCCTATCAAACGTCTAAGCTCTTTTTCAGCACATAAAGGCATGCAAACAAAGAAACACTGTTGTTGTAGGAATGTGAGATACAGTTCAGTCTCGTCTCGATGGAAAACTATACTTGCCAACTGTGCATTTTTACTTTGGGTCCCAATACACATACAGTGATCACACTGTTAAATCACCACTTCAGGAAAAATCTAATAAATCTTCTCTAGCATACTGCTCGCAGACAGCTCCTAAAATAAAAAAATGTAAAAATCATGATTCCAAAATGCTTGTCCTGTCTCAGAGAGGACAAGGTGCGGCCCTGTCTAATTCTCACACCCTGCGAATGGAAAACGCTCGCAGCCCGGTATACACAGCATCACGATGGCACTTTATTCATAGCACTGATGATCTCATGCCCCAAATTCATTGGGGAGTAAGTGACTATCTAACAGCAATGCTTGATGGGAATCAGGAAGCTCCTCCCAGAGACACAAACGCAGGAAGTGTCCACAGAATCACATCACTCTCTCTTTTTTCGCCCCTTTTTCTACCTTCTCACTCTCTGCCTCTAGCAATTACACCCTGCTTTCACTTGCCTTTCTTCTATCTTTCTGTTTCTGCTTTGTGAGCTTCCCTCCTTCTTCCCTCCAACTCTTCCATCTATTCTTCTCTTCCTCCATACATTGCCAGCTCTTGTGTTATCTGTTTTTGGAGTAGATACGTATATGTGCAGCAGCTCTTGGTGTTTGTTTTCACAACAGCGCACGAGAAAAATGTCGATTTTGCTCTTAGGTTACAGAATCCCACACCTCTGATACTTCTCCAGTTACGGTGTGTGTGAGTGTGAGTGTGTATTTTAACCACTGTATGAATGTGTTGGTGCTGAGCCTCATATAGCCTCACTAAATTAGAGCTCTAAACTGGGACTTTGGTTTGATGCTTCAAATAAAGCTGATGTAATTAAAGAATACTATTGTTCAGAGTTTGATATATAGCTATCTGCATTTTCCTTTTGCAGCTTTGAGTGCCCCAGCTCTTGATTTGTGCTATCATGTGTGATGCATACTGACATACTGTATGTAAGTCTCATTGTTTTGTATTTTTTTTGTATTTCCAATTTGGACCACGTGGACAGGATGTTAATATCTGTGCCAGAAGTGAGGACTAGATTTAAGACTGGGGGGGAAGAAAAGCAAATGCACAGTAAAAAAAAAAATAAGGTGACAACGTTTGTTATTGTTAATCTGTAAACTCCCATCTGTGCAGTGTGTCGAGAATAGCATAAAAATGAAAAAAAAGCCCCACAGCGAGTGTCTCTGTGGTGTCAATTGGTGTACCTATGTATCAGGTCTTCCAGCCTCTTCCCTTGTTCTTCATCCTGTTCCAGCTGTTTCCGCCGTGCCTCCCCTTCCTCCGCTCCCATTCCCTGGAGGAGCCATCGCTCACGCATGGCTTTGGACTGAGGAGGGAACAGAGACACGTTATTTTAGGTGATGTAGTCGACTGTGAATGTCAGGAACCGATCCTGTTTATGAATGTACAACTTTTCCATTTCAACAGGATTAATCAGACATGATCAATTCAAGTTTCTGACTTACATTTTCCCTCACTGGCTAGTCAGCTATAGTCAATGCTCGGGTTAAAGGTGCCTTGTGGAGATTTCATTGAAAAAAGCTTATGTTATGGTATGTATGTTATGTTTACATTCACAGTTTCTCTTTAAAACACACTGTGTACATCCTTAAATACATTTTCTTCCCTGTGTTTGGGTCTGCCACCATAAACTGTGTTGGTGTTGAACAGTTGCAGTTTAATTGCATGAAACTGGCATGTATCACCCCTCCTTCATGCTTGCAGCGGTGCATCAGTGTCTTTGTGTACATGCACAACATACAAAGAAATTGGGGACCCCCTTATCAAAACACAGCAGTAGTAATGGTCATGTAGATCTCCATAACACTCTTCCAACAGCTCTTCCTCTCTATCCTGGTTGTGATATTCTTAGACATTATTAACAGCCAGTGGACTTGCATTATGGAGACTAATTCGAGAAAGATTTGTAAGACGACTGCCAAGCACAGCTACAACAAACAAATAAACACGTAGGCCCACACATGCACGCAGATAACACAGAGAGACTCTAAACTCTGCTGTTACTCACAAGAAAACACCCTTTGCAAATCCCATCAGGCCAACAGAACTACAGTAATTATTCCTCATCATGTATAATAGGTTTTAGGTTTTGTTACACACACACAAACACACAC